TTCATTCAATACACGCCCGAATTATTAATATGCCTCCGTTCATTCACAGGTGTTATATGCTCTGTTTTATTTAAATTAAACCTGGATTATGTACTTATTCAATCCAATATCGGAATTTATTTTCACACTGTAGTTTATTAAGTGATGTAAAATATCATTAATGATCTTCTTATGTACCAATTTAAAAGGTTGCAAAATAATTCTCTAATTAAACAATATTCATTTGCAATGTTATTTGTATTTATTTACGAAGAGCGACACTCTACTACACCACGTACAACACCCAACGCATTCGGCATTTTTTTCTCAACTGAAAAGAAAAACAAGTTCGTGCGCACTCGCAAAATGGCCGTTGAGTCAGAGTTGCCTGCGTCTCCAATTGGGTTTAAAATAGAACTTTTCAAAATCTTTTATAATTTTTTTTGAAAAACCAATTTATTAAATTTTTACTTTTTATGTTAATCTAATTTTTTTATATTCTTCAATCGAAATAAAACCATTTTCAAAAGAGGTTTTCATGGAATGTTAGGAGAAAATTTTTAAAAAAGAGTTTTTTGCTGTATTATATAACATTTATGAAAAAATTTTTTTGGACTTATAATGTTAAAATTTGAAATTTTTTTATAATTTCTTTTTAATGGTTACACAAGTCCCACAAATAAAAATCTGTATACAAAAAACAAATCTGTGGTTTGCGCTAATTACCAGAGAACATAGATAGTACCTAATTTATACGTTGACTTAATACCTAATATATAAATCTACGTTCTTTGTAATTAGGGTATACTTCTACGTTTCATATTGGCGAATACGACTCTGAAATCTACATCAGCTGACAGTTGTTTCCTTCAAGGCGTTCATACTAACGTCGCAACTGCACATGCAATAAATATTGCTTGGAACAAATATTATTAAGAGATTCCTTACGTCGATATATACGTTTATAAATAATAATAATTACTAATGTACGATTATAAATATAGTAACGTTACTTTTCATAACTAATAGGAGCAAGAACTTTCTACTAACATTTTCTGAATATTTGTCATTATTTAAGAATTTATCACGTTTTATTTAAATAAATTCAAAGGAAATGAATCAAATATCGCTTGATACAGGGTTCTTGTAGAGAGTCAAACTTAAATGAGGGAGAAACCGAACTTCTAGAGAAAATATGTTTTTTAATTCCGTAAAAACAAATAATAAATTGAAAATGAATCAATAAGTATAATATATTTGATCCGTACAATGTTCGAGAACACACAATAAAAAACTACATTATTAAATTTGTTGCGAATTCTTACCCTTTATACCCTTTATTAAAACTATTAATATTTACAATTTTATTCTAATTGTATATGTATAAAGACAAAAAAGATTATATGACATTTGGTATTATATGCTTTGGGTGAATACTTATTAAAAGGCATAACTTTGACAATTTTTTCTTTGAGTAAGGAAAAAGGAATCGATTTTATTGTATTTGTATATAAGTACAATATACTTTTAAAACATATTTTATATAGACATTTCAATAAAAAGTTAAAATAAAATATAAATAAGAAATAATTGAAATAATAACAAAAATAAGAAAAAACGTATATTTCGGCCGCTCCGAAGTTGTAAACTCTCCATAGTTGCATTTCATATAACATAATCTGAACAATTTCTTCGGAGACTATACCGCTACTTTGGCCAATAATCCATACCAAATTTCGAAGATAGCTCATATGAAAATATATTATATGTGGGGTTCTGACAAATCAGCAGCTTTTTGGCGAGAAAAAGACGTATGCAAAATTTCAGATACATATCTCAAAAACTGAGGGACTAGTTTGCGTATATACAGACAGACGGATGGACGGTCGACAGACATATGGTCATGGCTAAATCGACTCAAATAATGCTTGCTGATCAATTTTGTATATAGGTATGTATGTGGTATGTGGCAACCTTAATATACCCTGGTTAGGGTATATTAGTTATAATAATGTTACTGTGAAGCTATAGTCAACATTTCAAGTAGATACATGTAATAGTTTCCGAGTACCATCGATTTGAAAAATGTGGCTTAGAGAAAAACGATGTTAATTTCTAATTAATTTAATCTTATGTGCTCCAGCTAACTGGCCCAAAAGCTTTGACAGTGAATTAAGTATATATTTTTTCCTTCTCTACCAATGTAATAATGCTTTTGGGACTTTAAAGCATCCTTTAACTAACCCAACAAACTGGGAAAAATTTCTACCTCTCGATCTTCTCCAACGTTCACAAGTTTTATTATATTTTTACGTTTAATAGATTTTTGTACCGACTCTCCATGCTCATCAGAACGTTAAGCACATACAACCATATGTTTATACATACATACCTGCATATATAAATATACACATGCATATTTAATATTCTCAGTTGACACTGCAACTTGCCGCTTTAGTAGTTGGTTAGTTCAGCGCCAGGTGAATGCAAATCTCTGTCCAATCACTTGGCTTTTACAATATAGAAGAGACATATCTTTTTCTCAGTCACTATCAGTATTTATTTGATACTTACATTGTATTTATGATAGATGCTTTCATTTGTTAAACAAAAAGCTTAATATAGCAAATAGAAAATGCTTGATAATTAGGAAATGAAAAATTCAAGTATGCATACGTATGTAAGTATATCTACAAAAAATTTAATTAGTGACTCAAATTTCACATTTGATGATGAATTTGAGCCAACTTTAGCGCATCGGACAAGTCTCAACCGACACACATAACATATGTACTTACATACATACATATATTATGTTCAAGTAACTACTGGCTAATACTTATTTGACATTCAACTGAAATCTTTAGTTTACTAAAACAAATTTATAATTGTTTACACTTTTATAATCTTTATTGCATAGTTGGTATAAAATCCGGTACACCAAGAAGTACATTATTACGTATCATTGATGTCATAAACCTAAAAGTAAATTTTTACGTAATCAGCTTCATTTCACAAAAGTTATGGGAAACACAAATTGTACATTGTACCAATATACTGCAATAATACAGTGCTCTTTCTTAAATCACTTGCTCTTTGTACTTCTGAGAGACCGCAGTGATACAAATTCAAGTTCATACATTCATAATTAACATTTCTTTGAAAACAGATACTAAAATGGCATTTTGTACACAAAAATAGAAAACATTATAATAAATAGGCGCCGAGAAGCAAACTTTACCAAATTAAATATTTTCAAATAATGCTAAAAAACAACAATGACGAATGATTAAATCGAAGAAAACGCAAACACACTCATTTGAATTTCCACGAATAATGACGCTATAGAAAACAATCTATGAATGAATGAACGATATTTTTTTCTCAATTTAATACGCAAGCATTTGTTGGGGAATCTCCAATAACCAAAAGTTTACTCTCATGGAACGTATTTGTTGTTATTGTCATATTAACATGCATATGCACAAAATCGCAAACGTTTCGGTTTTACGCATGACTCATGCATTCACGATTTTCTCACAATCACGCTCCTCATACAAATACTTGCTTGTCGGCATTCAGAGCTTTGCAATGTGATCTCTATTGAAGCCAATACAGAAAGCAATTCTCAGAGATTCTCACATTATACAGTAACTTTTAAATTGCAGTTTGAATGCATGTGTGTGTGTATATATTGCCCGTATATGACGTAGCTCGTGTAGTAAATCAGCGAAAATTTTCATTCATAAAAATTCCATGCGAGTTTACAGTGATCGCGTAAGATATAAGAAGGCTGGTGTTCTAATCAGATAATGACGTAGTCGAGTGAGTGTGAATATATGCATATGTATGTATGCACATACATAAGTGAAATGATAGAATCTGTCCATTCCCAGCAAGAAAATGGAATTTAAAATTTATTTGATTTATTAACATTTTATCTGTAGACATACACATATACTTGTGCAATACTATATATAATGTAACATAAATAAATATAATATAATAATTTGGTTTCAGGTACTCTTAGATATACAAAATATCATTATTTAATAATACTGAACTCTTTTTTGTTAAATACTGATATAAATCCATAAACACTAAATAAAATGCTGTAAATATTGTGGTTTTGGTTCAACAGCTAGTATGACATTTATATCCTATAGCGACTCGATTTGAACAATTTGTTCGGAGATTGCAGATTGCCTTAAACAATAACTCATGCCAAATTTCGTGAAGATATCTCGTCAAATGGAAAAATTTCGATGCAAGCACTTGATTTCGATCCTTCTGTTTGTACGGCAGCTATATTCTAAAGTAGGCCGATATCGGTAGTTACTACAAATGATCAGATTCTTGAAGAAAAAATGACGTTAGAAAAATTTTAAAGCGGTATCTTAAAAATTGAGAAACTACTTCGCGTATATACAGACAGACGAACATGGTTAAATCGACACAGCTCGTCATGCCGATCATTTATATATAAATTTGATAGGGTTTTACTCTGAATGTTATAAACTTCGTGGCAAACGTAATACTAGTATACCTTGTTCAGGATATAATAAAAGTACTACATTTTATTTTCACTAAAACTTGGAAATATTCGTTGTCTATATTGCTGTTTAACTGCGAGTGAATTTACGTATAAAAGCATTACTTGTTCACGTTTTTCCTACAGGGCAATGACATGTATTTTCTCAATTAGAATACTAAAAAAGGTAACATACATATGTACATATGTTTGTATGTACATACTCGTAAATTTATCACTTGCTTTAATTCAAACATTTTAATTTGTCTGGATATATGCACAATCCCGCATATAAATGTGTGAAAATGTAAACAAATATGACTAATCAGCACCTAGGCCGCTCCAGTGGTAGCAATAGCCGAGCACATGCTCTGCCTAGTTATCTCCAAAGTCACTGTGAATTCCCTCAGTCTCGTAGACTGTTGCCCCAATAGCTAAAAACGTTTAGTCATTTTCGTTATACTCTCAATGGGCTCTCACCTCATTTACACGTACACGGGTACGTGCGAGTGTTGGTGATCAAAAATTTCATGCCATAATTTTTTGCAAGCAGCAAAGCTTTCAGTTATGGTTTTCACGTCGAAGATTTGTGATTTGGCGATCGCCATTCATAATCATTTGTTGTTTGGCTGTGCTTGAAGTCGGAAATGCGCTGTGTGCTGGTCTGCAGTTAAAGTACCCGGTAGATGCTTACGGAACTCGGAATTTTTTCGGAATAACGTGAAAATTCGTTTTCGATTTTAATTGCGTTCAGTGTTTTCCGGATTACAATTACGGTTGAAAATTTACATTGAGTGTTTTGTTTGTGATTTCTTTGAAATATAATATAAAAAATAGTGTGAACCGGATTAAACACGGAACATGGAACATGCTATCAAAGTTATGATTCACATGGTAACAGTCAAGTTTTGGCGAAATTTCCAGGAAAGCCTAACTTAAAACCACATACACATGCGCACACTACGTGTATACATATGTGTGTGAATCATATTATTTTTAATTATTAAATGTTATAACTCGCTTTCAAAGTGAACTTCTTTTCGATATCGTCAACTTGTAACGCTTTTAAGCCGGATTTAATTTACGAGTGTAAGCTTGCTTTTTAAACTAAATAAATTTGGACTTGTGAATAGTTGTGAGTTGAGAGCGACTGCGAAGTAGACACTAAGCACAACATAAAATGAAATTTATAGATTTTTTTGAAATATAAAGTTTAGTGTAAATAAATAAGCTGAAAATTAGTGCAAAAAAACAAAAAAAAATAAATAAATAAAGCAAACATCTCTCTTTTAGTGTAAATAATTTAATTGTGAATCAAAAATAAATATATATAGTTGCTTTTATATATTATGCTGAAGTGCTGTGAGTTCAGTTGTGAATTAAATCCAAATCTAAAAAAATAATACCGTTATTTACTGAAATTTGAATGGCGCTTACCCTCAACTACACGTCCATTAAGAATAGTAATGGCTACAGTGAATTTAAGTGTATAAATTCTGGGATTTTATTTAAAAATTTTCAAATCAGTTATCAAAATATCCAAATGCATGAACATGGCCACCCGACGGATAGTGAGAAAAAAATACAAAAAGTACAAACCCGCTCGGAAGAAGCGAAAAGTCTTCCAACAACAGTAGAGATTGCGACAGTGTCGTCAGTGGCTCACAATTCGAAATTAGATACAAGAAGACGTCGTAGATCCAGTACCACTAGCAGCAGTAGCAACGACAGTAGTAGTACTTCGGATAGTTCGAGTGATGATGACACCGATAGTGACAGTTGGAAGAGTGGAGCCAGTTATAGAAATAGTAAGCTTAGTGAACGTAGTTATAGTAAACAAAAAGCCTTACGTGGCAGTCATGTCGCCATTATGCCCTCCAGTGGGCTACAAGAAACCCTCGCTAAGTCAAATACGCCATTGCCTTTACCACAAAGTGCCGACGGTCAAATTGAAAACTCGATTGAAAATGCTAACGAAACGAGCGAGATCGTTGAAAGTGAAATATTGCCTACAGCCACAAATGTGGATGACAGTGATTCATCCGGTGATAGTGTCAAATCGCGACAGGCTTCGCCAGTGGTAAAAGTGCCGTTGGATCCACATGCTTGGAGTACTGATGACATAGCAAAGTGGGTGAAATGGCTAACAAAACATTTTAAAATTGATCCAGAACCAGATATTTCACGTTTCCCAACCACTGGTGCTGAGCTGTGTGAATTGAGTAGAGCAGATTTTTGGGTTTGTGCCGGTTCGCGACAGGGGGGCATACTTTTGGCAAAACATTTTGCCTTGACATTGTACAGTGCGACCGGACGTGAGACCAGTCCCATGCTAAATGAAGATGAGCCAAGTGAGTAATAATAATCGATGAATTTGTATAAGCATATATAATATGTATCTATAGTAGGTCTAGTGCTGAAGAAAATATATACAAGTTGTGATATAAAAGCAATTATAAGCTTAAGCATTTGTCATGTGTTCGATAATTAATATTTATTCATATTTGACTGGGAATTACTGTGCTCTACCGACGGTGATTACGGTATTCAATTTATACTTTTCCACATGAGCATGAGCGTTTATTACATGCAATAAGAAGGCTTTCAAGGTTCTGGGGATACAATTGATACACCTCGGGGAATAATGTCACCATAGCCAGGTTGGTAGACAATAACATACCAAAAAGAAGAAGAAGTAATAAAACAAATATTTTGAGATAATTTACATCCTGACTTCCAATATATTTCTTATGTCTAACGCTAGCAACTTTTGGTTCTGAATGTGTGTGTGTTCCTGTGTTAGATGTGATAATTTAATTTTTAACTTGGATCAGTTCGACTTCTTTTCTTCTTTCTTGTTGTAACAGCTAGTTTCAAATCTTATATTTTAATCTTCATTAGAACGATCGTGATACATCGATTATGGCGATTTTTTAACTTTTCGATACCATTTTTGCTGTATGACTGATATTGGGCCTTAAAATAGGCTTTATAGTCTCGATAACTTTTTTTTTATGAAGAGATCCTTAGATTAAAGTGAATTTTGAATTCGAAATCATTTTTATTGTTTTATAATAGAGCGAATCGATCAATTTTAGGGGAGCTAGGGGGAGTGCTGTACACTTTGCACAGTGCTTTGGCATACCCAAACATTTATGAGCGTTGGGTTCAACCCATTCCTTTAAAATATTTAGATATCAACCTGAACTTCATTTGATGGTCTTTAAAATTATATTGTGGGTTTTCCTTTGCTGTTTTCGTCCGTAATCCGTCCATCATCAAGCTATTTTTTGTTATCAAAAGAATTTTGTCATCATAAATCTTTAACACACTAAATTCCTTTTTAACAAAAATAATTCAATTTTTTATTCAAAAAATCAAAATTGGCTTTAATCAAGATATGTATATATGAAGTATACTATATCTTACGATACAATTGTGCGACAGCTGTATAATTTATATTTAATTCAAGGTTAAGTCTAGCTTATTAGTTTTCTTTCTTAGAACGATACGAGATTTTCATTTGGGGCAATAATATAAGGAAATAAAAAGAGTTTTTCACAATTGAGAGAAGGGAAAATATAAGGTTATAGGGCAATACAAGTATATTGTAACCGCGATCGTCCCAAGGTAGCCAATGCCAGAGCAAAAAACTTTTCCTAACAACACCATCTCGTATGCGTCAAACTTGGTCAAGCTTATATATAATACTCCTTTGTCTAAACGCTTAAGCCCATTGGTGTGGATATAAGTAATTATTTACTTTTGAAAGTGCGCCAGCAAATGCTTGCTTGACCTTCACACGCTCAAAAAGAACTCGTAAATCTTTTGCAATAAAAAATCGGTTTCCGTTATCATCATTAAAATCACTTGACTATCATTGAAAATGGCCACTGTGGGATTTCGAAACCGTTAGGGCAATTTAGTTAATATTAACAAGTGCGTTGGAAAATAAAGGCAATGACCAACTTTCACATTAAATGAAATCCAGTCTCAAGTTATTTGCTCATTGTATCCTCACTTGTGGCCAAACGCCACTTTTCGCTGCTCTCTGCTGAGCATTAAATCCTTTTTTCACTTCCTCAATCTGGGTAATAATAGCCGCATTTATTTAGATCGAAATCGCATTGCGGTATATTCCGTCGAGTGTATTTATATACACACTTACAAACATATGTGCATGAGGCTATTGTAGTAAGTTGCATCTTGACCATTTTCCACTGCCTTATTTTATTTATGTACTACAGTATGTCACCGCTCAAACGCGTATTTACTGATAACGTCTGCACACATGTGTGCGTGACTTGGAAAGTTCGTAATGAGTGCGAATATATCTTGCACAACCATAGGGTTGATGCATACCCCCTTGCGGCACACGATCCCTGAGAATCTGTCAATGACATGGGTAATACCTTTATACAATTGTTTAGTTTATTAGATTTGAAATGTCTTGCAGCTTTAACTAATCTCGTTAAACAAGTGCGAATAGCATGGCATCATTAAATGATGGCACATTCGATGTGTCAAATGTCTAAGTATCCGTATTGTCTTTAAAGCGATTCGAAAACATTCTGCTTCAGTCAATTTCTTTGTACGAAAGTTTTCAATTATACCACAACTTTATTTAATAATTATGCGGTACTCAAACACTTTATTGTTGTGTTATTAAATGCACTTAACGGTGATTGTTGACTTAACTTTTCACCTGGATTAGTGTAGAATTCTAAGCCACCTAAACATTTAGATAAGAGTCTTCTAAGTTATGCAACGAAAATGATGCCAACTCGACAGCGTCTTTACTGCAGTGGGAGTGATGCCGTTAATAAACGATGGAAATATGATAATTTCTCACAGGATGTGGCATCTAATAATAAAATCAAAGTAATCCTCCGCTTTGCGGCAGCGTCATTGTCTGCAAAGCGCACAGTGGTCCAGTCCAACACAATTTTGTTGTTGTGGGTGGTGGTCATACCTTTTTGTTAAAAAGCAGCAAATTTGTTATTGTAAAATAAAAATTATTAACAAATTCGAAAATAAATCTTCAGATTTACCTAGTAAACGCTTAAAAGTTTAGAAATCTGATGTAGAACGTTCATAAGACAAGTATTAAAGTACTCATAACTTCGTGAATTCGGGAATACGATTGTCGCCACAGCGTCTTACGAAGACCTTTCTGTTAGTTGAATTCTACACCATTTTTTTTACATATTCAAATCATCTACCTTAGGCCTTTGATTGATGGTATCCATTCTGCTAGATCTATTCTGCACTTGAAAAATTTAAATCGACGAGCAGGTGAAAAAAAGTCGATTGATTCTTTCTTTTCTTTCTTCAGCTTTAAATAGTTATGTTTCAATAAAACATTTGGCTTACAAACCACATTAGGCAGCTGTATTCTCTGTTCGCAGAAGAGCCCAAAGAGGCTCTTTAAAACTATTCTCGCTAAATGTTCAGTTTTTTAAAGATGTTGCGGTGTAAGTTTTTGTTAGGCAAATAAATAAAGCGTAAATTATTCAAGACATACTAAACGCTGCGATAAGAAATCATAATAAGTTAAGAATCGATTAGAGATACATACATATACCATACATCTTATTTACAAACACATATGAACGAAATAGCACACTGTTCGCTCCTGTCGACAGAATTAAGTAAGCATTTGATTGTCCTGACACACAGCAGGCGTTCATCGTGGGCGCATGACGGGCTGAACTTCAAGTAAATGCGACAGGAAAATATTCATTTCCGCGCTTCCTGTTTCATTGAGCCCAGCCTTAAATAGCGCGTCTAAAATATGTAAAGCCACTGAAACTTTGTTATTGACGTTTATGTACTAGGAAAACAACAAAACTGTTTGTCCATATGCATGTATATCTATGTATGTGTGTATGGACGAATGTTTATAGTCAAGGTGGCTAACTTTTAACTATTAAATTTATTTACTTAAATAATAATGCAAAAAATATCCGAAAAAACGGATATATTCACACAGATGATGCAACTTTTACTCGAATATAAGGCCCGACTCCACATGCATATAAAATTTTTGCTTGCAACACAGTTGTGCTGGGGTCTAAAACAGGGGGCCTTTCAAAGTTTTCAATATACTTATCGACTCAGTCTTGCCATAAATTCTGTTACAAAGTTTACAATGCATACAGAGAGGATAAATTAACGAAAACAGTGCCGTTAATTTGTACGCAGTGTCATACTACATAAAAATGAAGAGAGAGTTCGTCCACGCGTCGTCAATTCAGCCATAAAAACTGCTCGCGAACGCATACACAGAAATCCCCTTAGAAATCAGAAAATTATGTCAAGGTAAATGGATATATCGGCCGGATCAATGTCAAGACTTATTCTCAACTAGTCATTTTCTGACAATACGTTAAAAGCAAATTAGACTCTACAAATATAAACGGCTTCCACAGTGGCATGCGGTCGTTTGGCAGATGAAAAAATCATCATTCATTGTTGAGGAAGGTTTTAATAGGCAAAACGACAAAATCTACGCAAAACCTTCCAAAGTCACAAAAAATGTTATTCCAAGGGCTTAACGTGGGCACCATCCAGCTGCTGTAATGGTTTGGTGGGTAGTCTCCTCTAAAGGCGTCACTGGGACAAATCTGTACCAATAGAAAGTATTAGAAGGCGTGCTAAAAGAGTTAAGCAATACTCTCTTCGATGGAGAGCTTTGGATCTTCCAGCAAGATGCTACTCCAGCATACAAGGCAAAAACCACCCAACAGTAGCTTAAAGGTAATATTCCTGGTTTCATAGCTGCAGATGATTGGCCGTCTGGAAGTCCGGATTTGAATCCATTGGACTATAGTTGATGGCATATTAGGAGAATATGACCTATCAAATACCCCACAGTAATTTAGAGAGTCTCAAAAGTCTTTGGGTAGAGCGGTGTCGTCAATACCAATAGCTACTGTGTGTGCTTCAATGGATCAATGGCCGAATCATTTGAGCGCTTATGCGAAAGCCAAAGGTGACCATATCGAATAAAATTTTTTACATCGCTCTTTTATTTTTTGCATTATTAAATAAAATTAACTTCATTAAAAAATTGATTAAAGTTTAATTTTTATAACGGACTGAACCTGTAACAGAACTTATGGCAGGACTAAGTACTTATATATTTTTTTCCTTCGTCTCGTTCCTTCGCAGCATAGACAATTAGTGGTGGTTTTTAATAGGACTGATTCAAAAATCGTTGAAAACTGACCAGAAAATAATGTTTTAAACACCAAAATAACTCGCTTTTACTAGAACCGCCTAGTGCACAGTTCCAAAATTGAATGCAAACATAGACGAGGGTGGTGCGATAAGTACTTAGCCAACAAAA